AACACTTAAAGCTATGGGAATTTACAGACTTGCTAAGGAAATTACAGTTTGCCAAAGAAGGTGGTTACCCCCCAGCCCTGTCTTACCTGGATACTGCACATGGCATTGAACCCATAGTTGCCCTATGGGTATGGGCTTCAAGGAAAAAGGATCTCTGTTGGCTTGAAGAACAAAGAAGAAAATGGAAATTCCACAATTTGAAATCTTCACTAGATTTGCTCACCTATCAAGCCTTAAAACCCCTTCTTTAAAAGGCACAAGGAACCTCATTTCAGTTCACAAGACTGATGTTTTCTCAATAAGCTCAAGTGTCAGAGACCCAAACAAAAGCTCTACTATACGTGAAAAGCCACACCACCTCACGTGAAGCAAAGCCTTCAGTGTCAAGTGTTGTGGCTCAAACACTCACTTAGCGAAGGACTGTGCAAACCTGTAATTGAGAGTACGGAGTGGGATAGCACCTACCACAACTCTGCTATGAATCCAGACCTTGCACCTCAGGTCATGGCTTCCTCAACTTCACCACAACAGCGAGGAGGCAGAAGAAAGCAACAACATCAAAGTTGTTGTCAAATCAAACAGCACGGAAGTTTGTGGTGCAGGACAAGTTACCAGTTATGTTCTAAGATTTGTCTTTTGAAAGTATAGTGTATTACAAATGTCAACCAGACAAAGCTATCAAGGCCCACATCATCTTGGACCACCAAAGTAATCAGTCACTAGCAAGGTGTAGTTTATTCGAGCATCAAGTGTTAACCATATTCGTACTGAGAAAAAGTTCCGCGTAATGCAAACATCCAGTCGAGGGGCCAAAGATTTTGTGGTTGAGTCAATTAATGGAATCTCAGATAGGATCTCAGAGACAAGTAAGGACGAAGAGATGTTGGGACAATTGTATTCAGTCATGGCAAATGGGACAACAAGCTGGCATCTTCAATTGAAGATGAGATCTTGGTGGACAAATAAGTTTACAGGAATGAGTTATATTGTTGGGTAGCCCCTATTCCTTTCAGACAACCAAGACAATGCTTGTCTAACAACCAAGAACAAGCAGTCAAACGTTTTCCATACTGCAGCAAAGCCTAAATAGGAGGCCAAAGACTTGACTTGCTGAGTCAAACCTCCAGCTTCACAAGTTTGCCTCAAACAATCAAGTAGTCTTGAAAGCTTTCCTAACTGAAGACTGTGCAGAAGCCTCCAAAAGCCTAGTTCACATTACACAATTTTAAGCATGATTTGCCAGTCGGCGAGCTTGCCGACCATCAGGCTGTAATCAGGTGTAAATCAGCATGCCAAATATCTAGAGGAGTTGGCTGACTTGACGTCCACCTCTAGCATGGGGTTCCACAGGGTTCAGTCCTTAGTCCACTGCTGTTTTCATTATACTTTGCGCCATTGGGTCAGATCATTTTTTCATCATCTTACAAAAATATATGCCAGAAATACATCTGATTCAGTTGAGTTATTGACTTGCTTGGCTGCTGTGAGGAGCTGGTTATCAGCAAACTCCCCGCTTCTCAACTCAGCTAAAACTGAGATGATATACTGGACCAGCTAGATTAGTTCATTTGTATGACAATTTTACTCTATCCATTGATGATTCCATCATTCATTGCAAGGATAGACTAAAGAATCTTGGGGTCATGTTTGATCGATCACTTTCGTTTGATTTGCATATTAAAGAGTTGACAAAAGTAGCCTTGTAGCCTTTAAAGATTGGATCGATATTGGCACTTAAAGATGCTGAGGCCCTTATTCATTCCTTTGTTATATCTAGGCGGGACTATTGTAATGTACTGTTCTCTGGGCCGCCTAAAGCCGCTTTTCCATTACCAGTACCAGCTCAACTTGCCTCGCCTCGACTCAGTTTGGCCGTGCTCAGTTTTCCATTACAGACCCAGAGATATAGTACCCTCAATGTAGCTGGTCGTCATAGCGACGCCACAAATAAAAAAATAAAACTTTCTGTTGCTGGCCTCTGTGTGGCGCGCGCAATGATGACGCAGTGAATAGTAAATGTAAATCCATATTTGTGTAGCGCCTTTCTAGTCTTTCGACCACTCAAGGTGCTTTTACACTACATCTGCATTCACCATTCACACACATTCATACGCTGGCAGAACAGCCACCAGAGGTAATTTGGGGTTCAGCATCTTACTGAAGGACACTTCGACATGCAGCCTGGAGGAGCCAGGGATTGAACCACCAACCTTGCAATTAACGGGTAACCCGCTCTACCTCCTGAGCCACAGCCACCCCATAGTGATGATTCTCTCTGACCAATCAGCAGTCTGCTGTGTTTTCACGTCACATAAAGAAATGTTTGCGAGGTCTACAGATGGTCCAGAATGCTGAAGCATTATTCATATTCTGACTGGATAATCTAAATGCATGCATAGAACTCCTGTGCTGGCCTCACTGGCTCCCTGTTCAGGTCAGAGCAGATTTTAAGATTTTGTTTTCATCGTACAAAATAGTGAATGGCCTTGCACCATTGTGAATTCTTATGTGCCTACATGGTTGCTGCGCTCCCACCGTACAGGACTTCTGACTGTACCAAAGGTTAGGAAGAAAACGGCTGGTGAGCGAGCTTTTTCGTTTTGCGCTCCAACATTATGGAACAGTCTTCCAGCAGATATTAGACTGGCATCTTCAAATGAGGTTTTTAAATCAAAGCTTAAGACCTACTTATTCACTGCTGCGTATGAGTCCTAAATGTTCATTTATCTTTGATGTCTTTGTATAAGTGGTATTTACTTTTTATGTTTAAATAAAAAAAAAATATTGGACTGTTTGTATTTTAATTTTATTGAAAATGTTCTACAAATTTATTATTATTATTATTTTTATTATAAAAATACCCGTGTCAGTGGACTAAGCGAGAGAGGTGGGCATGGTAATTCTCACAGCACAAAGGAGACATCCAGGTGAGGGCAGTGTTCCCTATTTGGGCCTTTTTTGTGTGTCCCAGTGTCTAAACCACTAAATAAAAATAATAAAACCCAAGTAAAAACATAGAAATGTGACAAAAACTCATGACATTTCTTAGCGCTTTATGGTTAATTAGTTTCCTGTACCTTTAAAATACCGGTGAAAGTATGTATTGCGATCATAACACCAGTTACATTTTTTTAAACAAATGTTGTGCTTTTAAAGACTTAAATGATTTGAATACAATATTATGTATGTATCCAACTTTAAGACACTACGACTGCAATGATGTGGCTTGATGCATTCACTTACATTAGTGTGTTTTCATTTCTAGACTGCAATGCCAGTTAGGAGGATAGGGACACTCACCAGTCAACACTCTGAATTTAGCATGCTATGAGGATCATGCACAATACCCAACACATACTCAGGGCTCATTATATTCCTAAAAATAAATAACAATTTACAATGTGAATTACAAAGTGTTTATTTTAATTGTTTAAAACACCTAATGTAATAATGGGATTAAAAGGCATTTGCTGAGAAACACGCTCATTTTTTACATGTCTATGTGGAACATGCATTGTGCTACTGTGGCTATGTGGGAATTGTTTGATAAATAATATCATATTAATATTATTAGTAAGTATGGAAAGTGCAATGAGATAACTTCTGTTATGATTTGGCGCTATATAAATACAATTTTATTGAATTTACCGCAGTCACATAGATCAGAAAATGTTCCTACTGTATAGGTTGTTTGACAGGCATGTCGTTTAGTTTAGAGGACTGGTTGCATAAATGGAAAACAATGGAAAAAAGAGTGGGGGAAATATTTGGCTTAAGTTGGTTAGCATGCACAGACAGACACATACATGATCAGACCGAGTTCAGCTTCTCCTGATTTCAGTCGCAGTTCGCTCACACCCAGATCTTGCTGGACTGAGTTATGAATGCGGCATGGTGTCAAATATGAACATGTGTATGTACACATACTTGACCAATAAAGCTGATTCTGATTCTGATACTGGAATACAAATAGACATCATATCACAGTACTGTTAGGGAAATGTTAACAATGTAACACCCTTTATCTCCTTACATCTATGGCATTATAAGTAATCTGTAAAATATATAATCTTACAGAAGTAATCACAATACAACAATGATTTGTGTGCATGTGGGTGTGTTTGACTTACAGCTGACTGAACTAGACTAGTGGTAGTGGTAAATTGCAGCAGTTTTATTACATTTCTGAAAATGACACACATTAGTCATTGTCTATTTGCAGTTCTAAACTGCTGCCGCTTATATATTTCTCGCTGATAACAGCATATCCAGAAACACCAGTCTGAAACAGCTGGCGCTGCTGTTCTACAAGCAAATAATATTGGCAAGGCCTGGTGCTTTGTCAATGACACCGTTTGTCCCTGTTTGATTCATCACATGTGGATATGTATGTGTTTATCCATCCATCCATCATCAACCGCTTATTCTGCGTACAGGGTCACAGGGGGCTGGAGCCAATCCCAGCTGACATCAGGCGAAAGGCGTGGTACACCCTGGACAGGTCGCCAGTCCATCGCAGGTATGTATGTGTTTATTTATGTAAAAAATGAATTCACTATGAAATAAACAAGGTCCAATTAATAAATCTTTTTTTGTAGTTTACACCCAAATGTTAATTGATCAGTGATGTTAAACAGTTACTCAAATACTGTATGCCGTTGGATTAATGTTCAGCCTACTTGCACTGTTTATCAGAATACATCTGAACTACTGATTCTTATTCACAACTAATTTGATAGCGTTACATTTATAAATAAATAAATACAGAGTAAATGTGCAATCACATTTTTGGTCATGGAAATGGAAATAAAATGTGTATAACTTCTACGATGCCACATGCAGCTTTAGCATACAAAATAATACAGAGAAATAAACTTAAGCATGCAAAATGCATAAATCATAGATCTAAGGAGAAAAATAACGTAACAGGTACACAGCACAAGAACTGTTAATTGAGCATGCTCCAATCCAAATACAGATAGAAGAGGAAATAGACATACTGTAAAAGCTGGCCATCACATAGTTTTGGCAGCGATCACCAGTAAATTCATTTGGACACCTGAGTATGAAACATAAGAAACAAACAAGAAAACAGAAGAAGGAGTTAGTTTATACAAGAGCTGTGCAAAACCCACAACAGTCATCACTGGTGTTGGCAGGAAGGGCCCACTAGAAGCTAGACCAGTATGTCTAGCTATAGTCTGTGAGCCTGAGTTCTATTTATCACTTCAGACCTTCACACACATGTACACTGAATTATGATGATCTCCAATTTAGGGAAATTGTATGGGAAACAGCTCTATTTTGTACATGCCCCATCAAACTCTATAGGTTTAAATACTGTCTCAGCAGCAGACTGAAGTTTGCATGTACGTACGTACGTAGGACAAGCTTAGCCTTTAAAGGGCTCCCAGTAATGGCCCTGTTAGTCCTGACGTGGCAACAGCCCAACCAGTGAGCCCCGGGGCCTCCTGTATCAAACACATGTTTTGGACTTGAAACATCAAAATCATTACACTGCTCAGTGGTCAGTCAAACACTGGACCATTGAGGAACAGTTCTGATGCAGGGAGTACCTGTTACGAGTGTTCTCCTGTGTTTTGGTTTCTGAGGGGATGAGGGTGAGACTGCATGGGAAGAACAGTAGAGGTAGGATGTCTTACAGACAAGAAACACCACACCAACCTGAGATGGAGGCAGCTAACTGCTCTGAACAGCATGGATGACGTGTGATGAGATGTGAAGTACATGCAAATTTCAGTGCACTACTCTAAAGAGGAGAGAGTGCTTAAACCTTTAGACCCATTTAGAGGGCTCTGCTTGAGCTCATAGAAATATACTTTATCACCAGATTTGTATCACTGCGTATAAGGGAACATGGATGTTTCCACCATTTCTTGGTGAAAACATGACGGGGTGAAACACCAGCAATGACATGTGGGGTTGAATACAGTTGAGTTCACATACGTTTTGGATCTGAGACTGTCTTAAGCACAGCTTGTTCACATCGGTGCCCAGTGAATCCCGCCAAACACCTGGTTGATGGGTAGAAAGGAAGAGACACACACAGCACTGACTTGTTACACACACGACATGGGTACACATGGACAAACACAAAGACATCAAGTGTTCAGGCACAAAACCCGGCGGGATCCAGGATACGTCCCTACTGCCAAACAACAACGCTGATACTTTTCTGTTGCACTTTAAGGTTAATGTTGGGGAAATGGTGTGGCTACAGATAGTAAAATGGCAAACATTAATTGCAGGCAACAAACACATTACTTCATGCAATGGTATAAGAGTTAAATCAGCCAATATAAATGTAACTCCTAGGGATATTGGGCTGCATTATTGCAGGTAATAATGCCATTTCTTTTAAATATACAAACGAGGCTTTGAATAAGTCTCCAAGTAAGTATGTAAGTCTCCAAATCCACATGTGGATTTAAATTGTTCTGACTGCACTTGTGCTACAGAGCTAATCAGCTAGCACACTTTTGCACTGCTGCATTATAAAAATAAAAATCATTTGCATTTTAAACAGTAAAAGTCTTTTGCTGACCACCTATTAAAGAATTTGAGGAAGAGTTCTGTGGTGTTCTCTGGTTCAGGTTCAGCAGGACAGAGGTGGATCTTCTTAGGCCACCCTGTGGCACACATGCAGGAGAAGAACATCTGTGGCTACGGAGTGCACAAGTACCTCATGGTTTCTGACAATGCTGCTGTCACTGTTGAGCCAGCCCTGACCATTCAAGTGATGCCAAAATCCACTATCCAGAGCTCAGTTCTCCATTTTTCAGTAAATGGCTAGTTTCTTTTTACTCATCTTCCTGCAGCTCTTTAGAGTGACAGCAGCTTGTGGTGTGCACTTTGCCTCCACTGTAGGATTTGTCCCTGGTTTTGAGAGCTCAGGTAACCCTCAAACTGCTGCCCTTATAAACAGCACTTCTGATAGCACTGACCTTGGCTTAACTAGAAAGTGACTCTATCTTGCCACCTCATGACTGAGGACAACAGCAGTTCTGTCATTTTGTGGCTGAACACTAAAATCATAACCAGTTTGTTTAGATCCAGAGAGAAACTGTAATGGCAAAAACCTGCATGGTGTCATGGTGAAATTACCCATGAACCTTTTTTGCCTGCATGATGTTCCTGTGACTTATTTGACTCACTTAAGTCAATGGGCCTCATGCTAGATGCACTCCTACTCAAACAGATTTGTTTTTATGTGGCATGTACAAGTGATTTAAGAGGATTGTGGCATTCACCAATTTTTTCATACTTGGAATTCATGAGTGGTTCAGGCATGTCTGTTAGTCTGCATTTCTCCACAGGGGAACAACTGTTTTGTCCAGCACCGCCCTCTGCTGCTCCTGACAGGGTAACATCACCTGCTGCATGTTTTAGTAATCTCTTTTTTTTTAATGTTATCTTCATGTTAAATCTTTTTTTTTTATTATTTCTAACACCGCTGAACTTGTCTGTAACTTTCTGAAAACGTGCAGGTGAAAGACTTCTTTTTGCTCTTTGGTTAAATTTTTTTTGTCCATTCACAGAATGGAAAAGGAAGCAATATATGGCAGTTTTAGGGGGGCTGATAATGCGAATAATCAAATCTTATCTGAACAAGCCTCACAAAAAGAGTAAGAGAGTTAGGATAAGAGTATGAGGATGTTCTTGCTTGAGGCCCAATGTATTTAATGAGTGGTGATCAGCTATGGGACCTTTACACACAATCACTCACCACTATGGAGAGCCTGGTTAAGCATACCACTTACAGGGTTGATAAAATACCAGATTTGCTACACTTCTCATTTATTTTTAGCGGACCCTCTCTGTGTGTCTGCACCCAGTGGTGAGTTTCTGCTGGTGGAACAATCAGCTGATCACTTCCCATCACTTTCAGGTGTTGGAATCTTAAATTAAACGTTTGTTAAACATGATCATCTCAATTACTTAAGCGTATCAGCTTAAAAGTGTATCTGAATGAGGACCTTCAGTATCTGGAGAAAGTAGATCTTGAAAAATAACTGTCAGATACATATTTAATGACAGTCACTGGATAGAGGATATCATAAATCACAGTGATGGCATTATAACATATTCAGTCAGATGAACACACTTGAGTTAGTCAGTATTATAATCTATGGTACATGTCATACCTGCAGAGAAACTTTGTGCTGCCTGGCATGATTTCAAGGGTGAAGCACTCCCCTCCATTAACACAGTAGTTCCTCTGGCTGTCACTGCAGCGCATCACATGACTGGAGGTCTTGGCTGTAGTGGTGGTGCTGGTGGCAGCTGCAGAAGACACCAAGTAATTAGCAAGGCAAGAAAACGACACAGTCACATAGGTGACACTGAACTCAGTGTAAAGCAAAAGCAAATTCTGAGGGTTCATGTTTGTTAAGTGTGGAGGAAACATCCCATGATTCAATCCTACTAAGGTAAAAGGAATACACCACTAAAAACCTAGATTCAAGTCAATGGATTTTAAAGGGGACCAATTTTGACTACAAATACAAAAATTGTCAAAATCTCAAAAGAAAAGCCATGAGTCACTACTACACTGTCCATTCACATGTTCAGTATGTTCAAAACACTCTATCAAATGTTTTCTTTCATTTTTCGGTCAAGAACATTGTATTTTGGTTACACAACTTTTACAGGAGGACATAAATCTGGTATCTGGTATAAAGATGAAGATGTCTTCAGGAGACATTCAGTTCAGTTAAAATGTGTTACTCTTCAAAGAATGTGTTACAAAAGAGGCCCTGGCAGAGAGACAGGGTGTGTCATATTCAGTTTCAAACACGTCCAAGGAAAACAAAGTGATGAGTAAGTCATGATGACCGACGTCAGCAATGACATAGGGAAGTATAGGAGTATTTTCCCTGTGTGACTCATCTGAGATCAGCATCGCTGAATGAAAACACTTTTTTACTATACAATATCGTGGTATGATTTCATAATATAAAAACAAAAATAGTAAATTATACAAACATGTTACCATATGCATTGACAAGCTGTAGGTTTGGAAATATATAATATGAGATCTACACGTTAAGCTCATTGCTCTGAGCGTACAGTTATGTATATATTAAAGGCAACTCAGATCAGTGTATCAACATTTTCATCAGCTCAGAACTTTCATCTGGACAACAGCATTTGGAGAGACATTAGTAATAAAATCAATCTTAAACTATTAGAGACATGGGAATTTTGTCATGCCCTCCCATGGAAAGTATGCCCTTGGGACATGCTTGTTTCACAGTGTAGCTACTAGGTTTCTCATTAAACTAGGCCAGTATGCATTAGGGCGAGATGCAGGTTACGCAAATAAGAGTCTCCAGTCCTCTTAGGCTGCATGTCTTTGGACAACAGAACACTGATGAATAGACAGTCAACTCACAATGGTGATCTAGCACTTATTCATGTCATGTCAATGGTGAGTAACAGATTTTTATTTGATTAACTATTTCCTGATCAATTATTTTCATAGTTAAAGGGGCTATATGACGTTTTTTTTTTATTGTCTGTTTGTGAGTGGGTTGTAACCTCATATAAAAATTAACCATTCATTGCCAATGTCTGTAGGCTGCTTCCTATGTGTATATCAGGTAGGATTAAATGCCAAATCCATTGGTTTACGTAGCAAAATGGAGTCCACTAACACCAAAAGACACAACACAAACTCCACATAAGGTTAAAAAAACAACAAAAGCTTTATATATACCGGCTTTTTAATCTGTTGCATGAAACAGAAAGAAAGTGCTGTTAATCTGGCAAACATTGAGCCAAAGCTTTCACAGACTTGTGAAATGACAAAGGGTGTCATGGCAGACACTACTCATGGTGCTCAGGTCTTCAGCCGGTCTCCAGTAAAACCGGAGATTTATAAGACAGTTGACGGAAAAATCATTGTGGAAGATGAGTTACTTAATTTTCTTGCTGTAAAAATTAAGACATTGAGCCAGGACGAGATTGTCCTCCTGGCTACAAACACTCTTGACTCCCGAGTGGATAGCGTCCTCCAAGAAAGTGTTGTTTGAACTATGCTCTACTACACAGAGGAACGTCTCGCATAAAGGGACACAGAAAGATGTCAACAACATAAAGATCTGCCTGATTACAATGGAAATTAATCGCTGTGTGGGTGTATAGGAGTGTTCTATTAACCTGGCCCCCTGCCACACCACCCAGGCCGCACCGGTGGGAACCTTGGTGTTGGCAGCTGCAACGGGGGCCACTGCTTCAAGCCTGGAGGGTGCTACAGCAACGGATGGTCCCAGTGGATCAACATCATTGACAGGCTCTCCAAAATGGAGTCATGTTGCCAAAAAGGGTTGACATCACTGGCAGAGAAAGAAAACCGGTAACACTAAACCTATTATTGGAACTGGAACTATCGGCAATATCAGAGTGGACTAAGACTAAGTTGGGGAGTGTTTTTGCTTCCAAGTTTTCACCAGATCTAGACGCTGAAACCTTTTTTGGCTATCTCAAGGAAAAACTGGGACGGGAGTTGCCTGCCAAAATACTGACACAGTGCACAGTAGATGCGGTTCATTCAAAGTTACTGCTGAATGTGATGAGGTTAACGAAATGTACGATCAGGTGTCGTGCCCAGTACGGTGATATCATGAGCCGCGTAGGGCTGCAGTTATCGGGTCAAACACTGCATCAGCTGCGGGGAGATTGATCGAGCATACTGGTGCCATGGGCACTCATTAAGTCCCAGTAAATGGATATTCGGATTGTGTCGTACAACTGTCGTGGCCTACGTTTGGGGCAGAACGCAGGAGATCAGGCGCGCAGCCAAGTTGTTGACAACCTTCTGGAGAACTGTGATATAGGCCTACTCTGTATGCAAGAGACATTGACTTGGAATGTTTAAACTCTCTCAGTGATGACTTTCATGGGGCTGGGGAGTCTACAATTGACCTTAGCATGGGAATAGTCAGGGGTAGGATATCAGGGGGTGTGGCTGTCCTATGCAATAAGAAGTTAGACTCATTAATAAATGTGGTTAGGCTTGATGCAGATTGGTGTGCATTTTGTCTGCAATAACAAGGAGTTTTTTTTTATCTTAAATGTGTACACAACATATGAATGCTGTCAGAATAAGGATGAATATTTAAATAGGCTTGCCTTCATCAGTTCCCTTATTCAAAACAGTAACACCTATACAGATAAGTCATTTGGTAATATCCAACTACCTCTAGATGCAATCTTGTGTAGGGATATTAACTGTGAGGACGAGAAGCATAGGAGAGATATATGCTCCATGTATGCTGACATAGTTCATGCTCTGTATGAATGCACTAAGCCCTATTTTAAACATAAAAATAAGAACCATAACAACAAGCCTGGCTGGAAGGAGTATGTAGCTGGATATCATACGGAGGCATGGGAGGCCACTAAATCATGGGCTATTGCTGGTAGACCTCAACAAGGTCCTGTGTTTGATCATAAGAAGCTCACTAATGCAAGATATAAGTATGCCATTCACTTTATATGTAAAAATGAACAGGCCATGAGGGCTGATTCCATGGCAAAGAAGCTCATAGGTAACAATGTTAATGATTTTTGGAAAGACGTGAGAGTTCTGCAAGATATCTCTACCATGCACTGCTGAAGGAATCTCCGGACCAGACAAAGAGAGTCATGGCGACAGCACTTTAGTACCTTATTCAACTGTATTCACACTGATTTGTATAAGGTAGAACACACTGAGAGTAATACTTCGATGGAATCAATGGTCATTATGTCACATGAGGTACACCAAGCCATACATAAGCTTTCTGTCACATTCTGCCTGTTAGCCGTGTCTTGTTTACCCTGTGTTTTGAGTTAGGTTTCTCAGGGTTTTGGTTTCATGTCTTAGTGTTACTCCTGTGGCCCGTACTATGAAGGGAGTTCAACCTACTCGGAGTTAACTCGGGGTTATCAGGTAAACTCAGGGTTGACAAACTCTGACCGCTACACTGGAGTTAAACGGTGGATAAGATGTTTGTTAGTTGAGTCCGTGTTAACCCCGTGTTAACTTAATTGGAGTTGGTGCGCGTTCGCTTAAAAGGGGCGTGTCCCGACATGCAGGCAGAGTTTTTTCGCAACGGCGCATGCTCCATATTTCTCCAGAGGAATGCATGTTGGTAGTGTCAGGAAATTATGAATGTAAAGACATGTTAACGACTAAATCTAATATCTGGCGGACGACAAAGCCAGGGAGGCTTGTTGGCATCGCATTGAGTAAATTTGTAGCCTAATTATCTTCACAGTGTTCTTATTGTAGTTTAAATCTCTATTATGTATTTTATGGGCTCTTCTTTTATGTGTAATATGATTAAGATGTAAAGGTACAACTGCACATAAGGGCCATTGTAAAAGGAGCCAGCGGAGAGGGGGAATAATCCGAGACAGAATTCATCTACAAGTAAAAAACTTGAATATTCTCTGACATTATAGTCACACATTTAACCACGAACAAAACTTGCTCGGAGCAGTTTAGAGATGTAGCGTAAATTGCCATGGCAACAGACCTCGGGTAACACCTATGCACCTTTCGTAGTACGGGTTAACCGGGAAGTTACACCCAACGTTACTTCTTAAGTTACCTGGATAAGCCAGGTACCCCGCTTCGTAGTACAGGCCACTGGTCTGTGTACTTCTGTGTAGGTTGTTGTTTTACCCATGTCTGCTCTGAGTTCTGTCTGTGTTCCTTGTTGGTGTTAGTTTATTTGTGATCTGTTTGCTTGTGTCTGTTCCCCCAGTAATTCCTCTGCTTGCTTGTCCACTAAATACTTTTTCCCCCTGCTGTCTCTCTACCTGCCTCGTTAGCCCTGGTTCCTGCCACCTGTGTTGCTCCCGCCCTGCTCGTTAGTCCCTGGTGTATTTATGTTTGGTGTTTCTCTTTAGCCGGGGTCTGGTCATTGTAGTGTGTTTCTCTCAGTCATGTGTGTTGGGAAGAGTGTTCTGTCTGCTTGTTTGGACTTTCCAGTCAACTGCGTGTAAGCCTGTTACCTGTTCTCAGCTGGATTAAATACCCTGAACTGAGTCTGCTCTCCGTGTCTTGCATTTGGGCTCTCACCTCCTCTGCGCTCACCCTTGAATCCTGACACTTTCTGATAACAAGGCTAGTGGATTGGATTGGATTTCTGCTGAACATCTTAAAAATGCCAGTAAAAGAATAGCTCCTTTGCTCGGCATTTGTTTTACTGTTTTTATGATACATGGTGTATTTGCCTTAAATTGAGGGGTGCCCAAGTATATTGTGAGAATTTTGGTTTACTGGTATGCCC